GGAGGAATTAAACTATTGCAATTGCCTGTATGCTCGATGGAAGTCTTAAATGAAAGGAAACGACCTTCCAACCATAGAGTAATAGTTCTAGTAGTTACTCTCACTATTGTTGTATTATCATTGTGCATTCTAGCTATTCTTTACCGGAACAAAAGGTCAAGACAACAAGTCAATTTAGCCTCACCCTTGAAAAACCAATATCCACAACTCTCTTATGGAGAACTTTTTCCAGCAACCATTGGGTTCTCTCCATCCAACTTAATTGGTGAGGGAGGATATGGTTCTGTTTATAAAGGGATTCTCAACTCTGATGAACAAATTATTGCTGTGACGGTGCTCAAACTACATGAACGTGGAGTGAACAAGAGTTTTGTTACAGAATGTGAAGCATTGAAGAACATTCGCCATCGAAATCTTGTCAAGATAATTACAGCTTGCTCAAGCATTGATTTTAAAGGCAACGACTTCAAGGCTTTGGTCTTCAAGTTCATGGAAAATGGGAGCTTAGAAAATTGGTTACACCCAAGTCTTTTAGAGCAACATGAACCTAAGAACTTGAACTTTGTTCAAAGGCTAAACATTGCCATTGATGTGGCATGTGCATTGGATTATCTTCATCATCATTGTGAAATGGCTTTTATTCATTGTGATTTAAAGCCAAGTAATATTCTTCTTGACGGTGATTTGTGTGCCCATGTTAGTGATTTTGGCTTGGCAAAGATATTTTTAGCAACCAATGGAATTTCTATTCATCAGCAATCAAGTTCAATTAGGATCAGAGGAACAATTGGCTATGTTTCCCCAGGTAATTGTTTATTGCTTCTTACATTTAAATTGATTAAGAAATATTATTTAGTTACATTATATTATTATCTTCCGGTGAACTAAAAACCAATTACGAGATTATATAGAAATTAAGCCATGTTTTAGAGATGACTTCCTTGACTTTGCCTTATTGTTTGTATAGCTACCACAACAAATTAAATCAACCATTGTCCTTCCTACCCCTATGGTATTTGAGCATAGATTTTAACCCTTGAGATAATACTAGTTCAACAATCATACCAAAATCTAAAAATTTGGGCATTTTTTTCACCATTTCATATTGCAGAGTATGGTATGGGTGAGGAGGTATCAACGCAAGGTGATATGTACAGTTATGGAGTGTTACTACTAGAAATGTTCACAGGAAAAGGACCAATTAGTAACATGTTTACAAGTAATGTAAACCTCCATAGCTATGTAAAAATGTGTCTTCCAGAGCAAGTAATCTAGATCGTTGATCCCCAAATCATATTGGAAATGGAAGAGGAGCCAAGTAGGAGCATGCAAAGTAGTACAACCAACATTTCTAAACTAGAGGCTTGCTTGGTGCCAGTCTTTCAAATTGGAGTTTCATGTTCTGCTGAAATGTCGAGTGAAAGAATGAGTGTGAAAGATGTTCTCAAAGAACTACACAAGATTAGAAATGTATTTCTTGGGGTTAGGGGACAAAGGCATTAGGATGGAAGAAGAAATGATTCTTAACTAAAGCCACATCTGTAGGTTATTTTGATGTTCTAGAATTTTCTTTCCTTCACTTTTCTTCTCCCCCATCTTTTCTTTTTTGAATCTGTAATTGTTGAGCTAGAAAAGGCATGAAAGTGGTTGTACTTATGGCATTGTCATCAAATATTTATAACTAGTCAAGGTTTCTATATGTTTATATGTATGCCTTCTCTATCTAGTTTTGTCATAGTTTCATTTTTTGGTTTATGGTCTCAAGTAAATCTGTTGTACATAATAGAACTTGGCTCAAACCAAAACATTGATGCCATGGAAGCTAAAAGAGAACAACAAAAACAACAAATGATTTAGCTCACAATATGATGGATTATGAAGTTTTCATATTCCTCGTATAAATTATTGAGCAACGGAAAAAATGTTTCATTCATGTTGATTTCACTCTCATCATATATTAATCTAAATCTTAATCAATGTATAAAGCTAATGGGAAATACGAATAATCTTTATTATGAGGAAACAAAAATTTACTAGTAGAAAGTGTTGAAAAAATAAAAAACACAATGCTAGCAACAATCTTCTAGTATAATAAAAAATCCCAAATTGCAAATTAATATAACAATAGCAACACAACGAAAACACACAATGCAACTACATTTCATTTTTTCTATGAGTTGATTATTGAAATCATTAGATATCCCTGCTTCAATGTGTTGTTATTTACAATTTGGGGTTAATGATGTATTGGTGAGTGATCATGTATTATAATAAAGGACAAATTGTTAAGCAGATTTAGGCCGCGAAGAATTTCAATTGGAATTGAATATGCAATTTGCTGATTTATTGTTATTATGTTTCCTTTTGCACATCATCCTATGATTTATGAACAAGGGGACAATAGTGTTCAATGGTTATGCAATAATTCAATATCAATTTGGGTTCAATTTGGTCGGTTTTGAGCATGGACCATAGGTTTTAATGTTTTTTATGTGGAGCTTTGGCAAACTACATCAGGCTGACTGAGGAAAATGGTTTCCGGTTTAATCAATGCCAATCCCATTGTCTATGAAAAAAAGGAGCACTGAACAAGAATTGCACCGGATGATGTCGACGAGTATGCTGTGGAGCCCATTGACCAACTAGAAATTTTTGATATCCTTTGAGTTTGATTATTACATTTGATGCTCTGTCATATCCACTGTGTTTTGTCAGCTATATATCTCACAAATCGTAGGTTTCTTTGCAAAGCTTGGTGTTGATATTAAAATTCACTTGTATGTAAGTGTATTAGAATTTAGAAAGGAATGTGTAGTTATACATGTTGATCAAATTGAACTACATGGGTGAAGTTCCTATTTAGCAAAGTTTTGCTGCTTGTCCATATCTCTTAGACAAACGGAGCAAAAGCAATTGTAAGGAAGCATGTGCCGCCATGTGGTTCAAAACTTTTATGAGTATGTAAAACTTCCGTAGAAACTTTTGAATATTAATGACATGTTATAGAAATTGTTTTGAAAGGCATCTTAAATTTGATATAAAATTTAATAAATGCGTGGTGACTATCTCACTGCAACTAACATTTGCAGTCAATATGCATTACATTTGATTGTGTGTCTATATACAAAAAATAAAAGAATGACAATACTTTTTCTGTTAAGGAATTGAAAATTTTGTCAAAGTGGAGGAGGAAAGTACAAAAGGAAGATATAGTGCAATATGCACTGGGTAAAAGAAGGCTCTTTAACAAAAAAAAACAAGCACAAGAAAATAAAAGCTATACATTTGTCAAAGAATTAATGGAGAATTTCTAGGGAAGATGCCACTCTCCTTGGAAGCAAAACTATCATGTTCTTCTCATCAAACAAGTGTATCTTTTTGTTGGAAGCAAAACTATATTTTTTATTGCAACTAGTTATTCTTGCTCTTCATATCGTTTTGTTTTGAACTTATTTATTGAATAAAATTAGATACTAATTCTTAACATCCAAGTATGACAGATATAGTTTCATAGAAAATTATATAAGGGAGCTAAGTGGTTTTGGAAACTCTGTACTTCTCTTAACATTCTTACATCATCTTAGAGACATAAAAGATCTGAGCATCCCTATTCTTTGGAAGAGCTGAAAGTTATATCAGAAGATGCAATTGAAGTAGATGACAAGCATAACTGTGTGAGGTAGAGACAAATCCTCCTGTATTGGTGGAATTTTCAGTTCTTATATATTAAATATGGTTTTTTTTTTTTTTTTATTCAGGGTGACATTCACTCCAACAGTGGAACATTGCAGTATGGCAACAGTGATTGGCCTTTGCTTGCGAGTGAAACTCATGTGCATCCTGCCTATGCGGTATAAGGTATGAGCTTTTGTTTTGTGATGGTACCTCTTTGGTTACAAATTACATATTCTGTATGAGTCCCATCATAGAGGATTGGAAGTTCATATGGTTGTGGTATGTTTCATTAATGTTTGTAGTAGATTGGATCCTATTGTGGATAAAATAGCATATCTTCAATGGTTTCTTTAGTTAGGTCTGATACAAAAATGGATACAGAATTAAGCAAAAATAGAAATTAAGAAATTGTAGCTACCTAAAATTTGAGTGTGACCATAAAGCATATCTAGGCTAATAATTCTAAACCATGGTTATGAGAACTTTCCTGTTATATTGAAAATATTAAGGAATGGCCTTCACTATAACTATGGTTCTGAACTTCTACTGATCTCAACAAGGTTGATGTCATTTTGAGATGAGTAATATAGATATAATGGGGAAGTTTTGGAAATGTTAATTCTAAACATGATTGCTGAAGCCACTTTGAATTCCTTTTTTGTGAAGTGTTGGCTTTATCTCCCCGGATGTCAAGCTAATAATTGGTTTTAAAAAACTGTTTCCTGTTTATAATTGGTTGTATATCATCAATTACATTTATAATCTGGTCGCACATCTCTCTTTGATTTAATCTGGAAGCACACTTCTACTTCAGGGGGGCTGAATTGAATTTGGTTTACTTGTGCTTCACTTCAATTGAAATATCCAACAATTGCTATTGGTTTTGATTTAATTTTGTTGTCTTTCTATTTCTTGACACCTCTTGTTATTGTTACAGGTGGATATCAGGGTAGCACCTGGAACTCATGCTGAAGCTGTATGGATTTGATAATGAACCACGGTCTCCTGGCCATGCTCCTCAGGTTAGGATTTCATCTTTCCTTAAAATTTATTATTGTGACAATTCCAATTGTGTCGGTTTCTTAATAACGACTATCAATATATATATTTTTGAAGATTTACAAGATCTGTTACAATTTTTCCAGGCGGAAGAGGGCGAAGAAAAAGAAGAAAGGTGAGAAGAGTGCTGCAGAGATAGCATTGCTTGTTGAAAATGTTATGGCTGAGCTTGAATTGGTGGCTGAAGAAGATGCAGAATTGATTAGACTGTCAAAACCTGCTATAAATAAACTCAAAAGCTGCCTCTCCTTATGGAGGTTGTTCTCTCAAAGTAAGATGATTTTCTCTCAGTAGTTTCATTGACATCATGTTTCCATTTTATTATTTATGGTTCTTATCTTGTTTCCTACATCAACTGTTGTTTGGTGCAAGAAACAATTTCATGATGGAGTATTAACCCTCCTGAAAACCTAGCTCGAACCCCTTCCAGATGGAAGCTTACCGAATATAAACATCCGTGGGGCAATATTGAGGATCTTAACTGATGTACAAAAGGCGTTTTCTCCATTTCTTTAAGTGAGATGTATTGCACTTCATGCAGTTTCCCATTGATTTATAGCATTATGATAGGAGAGAGCAACTGAAGAAGAGTGGTCTTGGGAAGGTCAGGATTCTCCTTATGAGGCGACACTGACACATGAATAATGGTTATGGCTTGGCAGTGGAAGGAACAACTCTGCATATTAATTTTTTGTGTTATGCAGGTTATTATGTTTTTGTTGAAGTCTGACGAGGAGACCACAGCCAACAGAAGAATGGCAAAAGACTTGGTTGATAAATGGGTAATGTTATAAATTTTTTGGACTTTTGGCACTCATACTTGTATTGATCACTCTTCATGGTTCCCCTTTGTACTTGGATAAATTTTATGGTATTGTTTGCTAGAACATATAGTGTGAATGTGCATGTGGTGGATAGACTTCTTTCCTGCTCAATGATCAACCCAAGATCTATTCTCCAAGATGTTGATGAAATTTTGTCTTGAAAATCCAGATGTATGAAAATTATGTGTGTACTGATTATGTCTTGCACTTCATGCAGTTTCCCATTGATTTAGAGCATTATGATAGGAGAGAGCCACTGAAGTAGAGTGGTCTTGGGAAGGTCAGGATTCTCCTTATGAGGCGACACTGACACATGAATAATGGTTATGGCTTGGCAGTGCAAGGAACAACTCTACATATTAATTTTTTGAGTTATGCAGGTTATTATGTTTTTGTTGAAGTCTGACGAGGAGACCACAGCCAACAGAAGAATGGCAAAAGACTTGGTTGATAAATGGGTAATGTTATAAATTTTTTGGACTTTTGGCACTCATACTTGTATTGATCACTCTTCATGGTTCCCCTTTGTACTTGGATAAATTTTATGGTATTTGTTTGCTAGAACATATAGTGTGAATGTGCATGTGGTGGATAGACTTCTTTCCTGCTCAATGATCAACCCAAGATCTATTCTCCAAGATGTTGATGAAATTTTGTCTTGAAAATCCAGAACCATTCCTGTTTCATTTTATTCTGTACTGAGCTATCTTCACATGATGTTTGGTCATGGGGGGGATCTATTTTCATTGAGTAAATTTATGAGTTTTGAAGATGTGCTCTCTGATATTTTGTTCTCCCCTTCTAATATTGTTTGATTAGTATGTGAACCCTTGTATGTAGGTATTGTTTGGAACCTCGAGAGTTTTTTTTTAATAACTGATGTGGGTACGTGGTTCTCATTCATATTAATATTTCCTTATCATTTAAAAATTTGAAAATAAAATGCAAAGTCAACCAATATTCAATAAGAGCACACGGTTTGAGGGCATGAGAAACTTTGATGATGAGAAGGTTCCCTTTCGGAGGCCATCTGCAAAAAAGTATATATTATCTTTGTTTAATTTGCTTACACATGTATTTTGAGCGATTTAGCCATCTTGACCTTGTTTCCATATATATCTAGTCTTACTCATGCGAGGAATGTCTTGTTTATTTTTCAGTAGGCCAATGAATAAAGTTTCATGAATGGAATGTAGAGATGATGATCATGATTTGCCTGAATTTTCACAGTAAGATGTCGTAACAGAATTAATCCGTTGGGTCCTAGTCAGTTAGTCAATTTTGATTTATTATATGGGTGATTTGCACTATGTTTTGAATATATATATTCGAACACATCAATTTTATGAGGGACGTGCAAGGAATCGAAGTCTGGCCAGTCATCTTCCATGCGTCTTACTTTAAGGCCTGAAACAATGCCAATGGATTTTCTGGTTCGCCCCCAATCCAAGATTGATCCAGATGAGGTTAGGGCCTATGCCAAATAGGTTGTGCAAGATCAGCACTGTCTGAAGGTTGGTCTTCCTCTCTTGGACACTTAAAATGAAATAGATTAGGATAACTATGACAAACTCTTAAATTTAACCATCTACTATTGCAATTAGTTTCTTTCTTTCATAATATATATATAAATATTATATATGTATAAATGTATGTATGTATGTATTTATGTATGTATGTATGTATGTGTGTATGTATACATGTATGTATGTATGTATGTATGTATGTATATGTACATGGTAACGAAGGCAGTGCTGAAATGTCTACAGGATACATGTTCAAAATATGGCTTCTATCTGTCGTAAGTCTTATTGATTTGAAATTGAATTTTTCAATCCATTTAAACTCAAATGATGCCAGTTAAATTTTCATTCGAACATGAGAAAGCTGAGAAGTGGAAGTATATGGCATTTAATTTAAATCATGTAAATGACCTTGATAAAATTTAAGCTATTGTGAAGTTTCAATTTTTATCTAATAATAATGATAAACATAATTTTTTTTGATAGAGGCCTTTTCTCAAGCTTGCTGTAAAAGATTTTCAAATGTGCACAAGCTGTGCTAATTTTGTTTGACCTATTATTTTGGGGACATGACTCTCCTAGGGTCAGAGTGCATATTTTTTTATAAACCCCATAAGGTCAGATCTCATGTCAACATGCAACTGCAATGTGGTATGTACAACCTTTTCTCTCCTGTGGATTAAAAAAATAAACTAAAAGATAGTGTTTGGTTCACTGAAATGAATTTGAAGGGTTATTAGATCAAAATATTCATTCTCATGTTTGGTTGATAGAAAAAATAATGAAAAATGCATTGCAAATGAAATTGTCATTTACCATTGTAAGGGAATGATCACTTCACAGGAAAATCTAAAGAACAATCATTTCTTTACATCAGGTTCTGAGCCATATTGAATTAATATATCGGAAAGTAAAACATGTTCTGAACCATTGTAAGGGAATGATCACTTCACAGGCAAATCTAAAGAACGATCATTTCTTTACATCTCATTTCAATGAACCAAATAACAGCAAAAGAGTCCTAGGCCCTCTTTTAGAAAGGAGGAGACCAAAGAGGAGAGAAAAGAGGGAGAAAGTAGTTCCCCCCCCCTCTCTCTTACCTGGCCTGAATGAAAGCTGATGCACTGAATAAGTGAGAACCTTCCATTGAATTCCATTTCACAGTATAGTAGCTGATTACTTACCTATACTACTTAAGAGATTTTAGTAATTAGTCTGGCTAGTAGCCTTTATTTATTTCTGGTACTAGTATATTTGAACCCCAAGTCATACTTCCACTCATAATTTTACTTGATTATTATGTTATTTTGTTATTAAAAAAAAATAGTTATCATACCATGTCCACTGCATTTGAACCTGTTTTTGGCAGTGTGTTTTTGCTGTGTCTATAACTAAGCAGCACAGATATGTCCTATGGAGCAGACATGGACACATGTAGTTAACGTCTGGCCATGTCTTAATATATATATACACATATATTTTAATTCTTTTCACTGGCCACATTATGGATATGTCAGACACGTGTCCTATTTTCGGACACCCACCTGAAATGGAGGGTCATACAATATTTTTGAAAAGTTTTAATGAGGGGACAAGTTAGAGAAAGGAAAACTTTTCACCTTTTAGAAGAAATAACTTCTTTTGGCCACTTTCTCCTCCCCATCATTTTCCCCCCTCCAAATTATTAGTGAAGGCGTGTAACGCCCTCAAAATAATAACAGTAAACCCATCAGATAAGACATGCATTTACATTTAAACTAACTGCTAGGTGGACTCACATTGGCCTATTTTTTCTTGGGTCATGCTTGCTGTGGTTCTGTATGCATGTTTGTGTGTTTAGACGTCGTGTCTGTGTGTGTGTGCACATTTTGGGGGTGTTATTATCATTTTTTCTAGACAAGCTCTGAGCAGCGCACTTGCTTCCTTTGTTTGTTGACAGATGCAAAAGAAGTTGCAACAGTTGAAAGCTCCAAAAAAGAAGCAGCTTCAAGCTACAAAACTTAGCGTGGAGGGTCGTGGCATGGTCAAATACTTAGTTCTCTCCATGGGCCTATGCATGAAGTAGTGGGTTCAATTGAACCACTGAACTTTGAATTTTTCTTTCAGAATTATGTAGTAGTATATAAAATTTTTGAGAGGGTTTTATAAATTGGCACCATTAAAATTGTTCAAAAAAATAGATTAATCAACAAAAAGTTTGTTTAAAAAAAATAATAATTCTATGTTTATCATATTCTTATATCATTTTTTATTTAGCACAAATAATTATTAATGGTTGAATATGGATATCATTATAACAATTATTGTGTATGTTATACACAAGATATCATGTAAAAATATAGTAAGCGTAGTTTTATAGACATAATAAATATCATGATATTATTGTTATTATTATTATTTTTTTTATAATGATATAAAAAAATTTATACATAATTTTTGTATAAAATGATGTAATTTAATGTGGGCCTTTCACTTTAAAATAAAATACCCATGAAGATGCTTTTTATTTATAGAGAAAATTTCGTTTTGCTCTTCAAATTATACCTTGATGATCAATTTAACTAATGTACTTATAATTTTAATTTTATACCTAAACTATTTAATTTTAGATCAATTTCATCCCTACTGTCAACTACCATCTATAATTAAACGACACTAGCTGTCGTTTTCATTTGAGATTTCATTTACCCCTTGAACTATTCCCAAAATATTAATTAGACCTTTAAACAATGAGATTTGGGGGTCTAATTGATATTTTAAAAATAGTTTGGGGGGCAAAATAAACAAAATAAAATTTCAAATGAAATTTCGGTATCATGTCATCAACTTTCATTCGATTATAAACGGTAGCTAACAACTTGGGTGAAATTGATCCAAAATCAAATAGTTTAAGTATAAAATTGAAATTACGGCAAATTACAAAAAAAACTCCAGGGTTTAGCGTGTTTTTCAATTTAAACCCCAGGGTTTTAATTTTGACAAATTAAATCATAGAGTTTCATCCGTGTTTCAATGTGAACCCTTTGTCCATATCCGTTTGATTGAACAAATAAATCTGGGCAAAATTTTCAGATTCAAACACACATGTTAGGCGCATGTATCTCTCGTCGTAACTCCATTTTGCATCATTTTTGCGTCATTGGATTCATCTCATGGCCTAGATTTCATTCCATCCCTCATATGCCTTGTTCCACCTCTTTTTGCATGTCGTCGGAGCTCCGAAATTTGGCCAAAAATAAGATTTTTCTCTCTTTGGGCAAAATTTTTAGATTCAAATACACATGTTTAAGCACTTTTTCTCTCTTTGGGCAAAATTTTTAGATTCAAATACACATGTTTAAGCACTTGTATCTCCCTCGTCATAACTTCGTTTCGCCTCATTTTTGCGTCGTTAGATTCATCTCATGGCCTAGTTTTCATTCCATCCCTCATATGACTTGTTTCACCTCCTTTTGTATGCCGTCAGAGCTCTGAACATTGACCAAAAATAAGAATTTTCTCT